TAGCAGATTGTGGGTATTTCTTCACTCTGGAAGTGATCTATCCAAGGTGCCAGGCCTTCCACTTTTAGTATGAGTAGTACTAAAAGTACTACTAGTCGAAAGCAGTACTAAAAGTACTGAGTAGTCGAAAGCACTTGAAATGGTCCCTTCCACTTTTGACCCAAGGAGGTTGTTGCTCCCCACAGCTTTACAAGCACCCAGTCTCCAGGCTGAAACAGAAGTACTGTCCAGAGTACCCTGGATCTAGTCCAGGGTATTGATTTTCCTGCAAACAACAGGAAAGAAAATTCATAATTGGGGTGGAGATGGGGACAAGGATGCCAACACTTGGCTAGTCCCAAGCCCTGTTCCCAGGACGGATGATTTTATTGATGCTGCTCCCTGCATCTCCATTCTGACAAATCTCTTCCGCAGCTGTACTATCGAAGGGCTGTGGCATGTGGTCAGGAATTTCCTTGCATTTGAATTTCCTTGCTTCTCGTATTTTCTTAGTTATTCAAATTTCCTGCTGGAGAGTCCTGAAGTCTGAATCTTTAAGAATACCTGAACAATTACCACCAGTTCTCAATCTTCTTCCTCAGCTTCTCACTCAATCCACCAGTTTGCTTCTTCCCCAAATTTGATCATGCAGAAGAACATTGTTCACCCTGAGGAATTCAATCAGATGTTGGAAGCTTTTAACAGCTTCTTATCAGAGCAGTTTTTCTGTTCTTGTATTCCTTCCCAATACTCAAGATGTTCAAGATGACAATGGTTGCCTCTGCCTGGTGCTACAGCACAAGCCTCCCAAAAAGAGGGAAAAAGCAAACCAGCCGGCCACGGAGCTGCCAGCCTTGGAAGCAGCCCAACAAGCAGAAGCGCTGTGCCCAGAAAGTGGCAAAAGAGGTATTTTTTGCCCCAGAAAGGGGAAAAAGGGGCCAGAGGGCTGCATCTACAGCCCGACAGTTGTCCCCAACCCCCTGCGCCACCATTTGTGCTGGCTACGCCCACCCACCCCCCAGGCTTATTTTTGAGGTAGAGGTTTTAGGCCCGGCCCCACAAAATTAGGGTTGGGCTTATTGGGATGGGTCATGTTTTTTGAGAAACACAGTAGTACCAATTTCTCCACTGTCGGCAAGCTGATCAGGCACCGGGTGCACTCTGAATCTAATAGGGTCAAGATGGTGACTTTTACTTCCGAGTAGGACACCAGTATCTCCACCCTGGCAGTCATTGGAATGATGGTGCCACTTACCATCGGGTCATAGTCCCCTTCTCTGTCGCTCTTGCAGAAGACCACGCCAGGCTTGTTGGATGACAGAGTTCTCTTTGATGGATTGGTCTCATAGAAGAGGAAGGCGATCCAGACACCCCATGCTGGTGCTTGTTTGGTGCAGCTCCAGGCAAGCCAAGAGACAATAGGATGAAGGGGCAAGTGCGTTAGGATCATCTCTACCTCCAGCATGCCTGCCTCCACCTGTGCTGGTCCTTTAATGAGAAAGAGGTGGCCCAAATCCCAACGATGGCAGCTCCATAGTCCAGAAAGAGATGGCCGAAAGTCATTCTGCCCTGAAACAGAGGCATTCCAAGCCTTCAGCGTATCCCAGGATTGCAGTGCTGAGGAGTGGAGCTCTGAGTGGAGCTTTTTCCACCAATGGCAGGAAGATGGAGAGTTTTCCTGTCTGTCCATTTCTCAAGCTCGATGTGGACTGGGGGAAGGATGGCGGTTGGGGATTCCTTTTCCCTACCTTTTATGAGGAAGGCTCCATTCCAAACCTTCAGCATTGCAATCCTAGGATACAGTGACGGCTGCAGAACTTTTTTTACGAGTGGTGGGAGGATGGGGAGTTTTCCTGTCTGTCCATCCCTCAAACTCGATGCAGACTGGGGGAGGGATGGCGGGGGGGGGGTCTCCTTCCAATTTTCCTGCCTTTCATAGGGAAGGCTCCATTCTGACCCTTCAGCATATCCCAGGATCTTGCAAGGCTTGTTCTGGCGTTGTGTGCACAAGCGGTGGCACTGCCACAAGTTTGGATACACCAGTGCAGCCGCTCACAGCAGGATACCAGCTGCGCTGGTGTGATGAAGCTCACGGAGGTGCTGCCATTCATGAGTGCAATGCCATACAGCCTTGTGGTGTCCTCCAGGAGGCTGTGCCAGTGTGGCAGGCCTCATGGCAGTGTTGCCACTCCTACACACAGGCTCGCTCAAGTTGCAAACAGCCCAGAGATTTTTGTGGCCTTTACATGCCTGGGATGCCTGCAAAATCCCTGTTCTGGTGAGGCCCAGCATTTGGGCTCCAATGCATTCTCCTCCATTTATGGCATGTCCAGCTCACCGAGTCTGGCCTGCTGCACCTCAAAAAAAAAGTAAGGCCTCCTCCAAAATAAGCCCAAATGCTTGTTCTGTCTAAAAACTCACGTCTTATTGTCGAAGAAACACAGTAAGAAACTGAGATGGCCTATGGGATTTGAACAGCTAGATGGTTCGTTCCCTTATGGGGTGTGTTTGTGCCAGTGACCTACCTGATAGAGCCAGTGAGCATAAGGCTGGGGAGCCACGTGGAACCACTATCTGCTTTATCGTAGGCCCTGAAATGACTGAGAGGGCTAGTCTGGCTAAAGAAATGGAATCCAGCAAATGATTCCGAGAACAAGAAAAGAAAATGGCTAAGCAACAGGAAATAGGGAAAGCGCCAGGTGCCAGTCACAAATCATCAAAAACGAATTCCATGTTCAAAAAGCGATTCCAAGTATATTCCATGATGTCCAGGGAGATGGAGATGCTTAGCACCTAACTAGGGGATTCATCCAGCTGGCCAAATCCTGTGCTTTTCAAAGAAAAGATGGGTCCCTGAGGATGTGCGTTGATTATAGGGGTATAAACACCATTTGTGTGGAGGACATGTACCTCCTGATGAAAGACACGTTGGGTTACTTGTCAAAGGAAGTTCATTACTAAGCTGGACTTGAGGGAAGTTACTACTGAGTGAGGATTAGAGAGGGAGACGAGTGGAAGACTACATTCAACTGCCCCTTAGGATGTTACCAATTTCGGGTGATGCCATTTTGACTCCAGGGGGCACCAGCCGTGTTCATGCAGCTAATAAATAAAGTCCTACATGAATACTTATACAAGGGATACTCGTGTGTTATGTCTCACCTATATACTTAGATGAGAAGACAAGGTTTCAAAATTCAAAATATTCAAACAAAAACAAAACCGAATTCAAAAGGAATAAATTAGCACAATTGTCCAGTCTTTTGGCAAACTTCCCGGAACCTGTCAGGCTAAACAGAATTGTCCATAACTCACAAAACCACTTCAAACGTATTCTTCCGACTCATCAAACACTTTGCTTCCAAGCGAAGCTTGAGAGTCAGCACGCCTCTTTAAATCACCTGGATAGGCGTGTCAGTCTCTCCAATCAATGTTTGTCCTGACGCCTCCCCCCAGATTGACGTTTCCTGATTCTTCTTGTTCTGGCATCAATCCACGATCTATCAGTTTCCTCGCTGGAAACTTCTGACTCATATGCTGGTCTAAACGAAGTCGAAGGTTCTGGGGAGGATTGTCTCTGTGACAATCTCTCATCCTCCTGGCTCACGTCTGTGTCCTCTGATAATTCAGACTCCACATTCACAGCAGGCTCCAACCTTACATTGTCAGAGTCATCAGAGTCAAAATTCCTGGCAGGATCGATCCTTCCAGTCACAACACTTGTGTACCTGAACAATATTTTAATTTATACTGAGACTATAGAACAACACATAAACCTTAGCTGTGCTAAGGAAGCTGCTAAAAGCCCAACTATCTTCTGACTTCCAGGTTAGACTACCTAGGGTAGTGTCATGCCCCTGGTGGAGTCTGACTCTGAGGAAGAAGAGGAACAGCCAACAGAGAGTGGGAGTGTGGCTCCAGAGGTGGTGGAGGCGGCTGGGGAAGGACAGAGGCCGGTTGAGCAGCCAGAGGAGGATCCAGGCCCATCCCCTATCCATCCTAGGTCATGCAGGAAGGAGAGGATCAGAGAAAAGCGAGGTCTACTCAAGAGAAGATTACCATGATCCTCCTCATGGCTTGCAGGTGGGAGCTATGTATATAAGTTTCCAACTGCGCAGTTAGAATTGCTTAAGTCAATTAGTGTTCACCTTGAAAGAGGCTTATCTTTGCAGGCGTTCTTCCCATGGACTTTTCTCCGCTATTTTCCTAGAGTTTATAATTAGTTATCTCGGCTTGCTTCAGAACGGTTTATTTTCAATTATTATTATCAATGCGGTTTATTTTGGTTTTCTGTTTGCCTCCTTATTTACTTTTGTGACTTTAAACTGTGCCCAATAAAACAGTGAAGTTGAAGGCTTTACCGGACTTTAATATGTTTGGGGTTTGGGGTTATTTTTCTAGGTAGTCTAACCAGGTTAGACTACCTAGGGTATCTCCAGGCAAGGTGAAAGCAATCATATAGTGGGTGGCCACAAGGACCAGAAGATAGTTGCAGAGTTTCCTAGGATTCACAAACAATTCATTCCCACTTTCGCACAAATAATACTGCCCATCATGAACCTGTTAAAAATGGGGAATGGGGTGAACCCTAACCCTAGACCAAGTCAACCCTTGGACTGTTTTGTTACCTTCCCACCGAAGTCGTATCTATTAATCTATTCACATTTGCATGCTTTCCAACTGCTAGATGGGCAGGAGTTGGGGCAAGTAATGGGAGATCAACCCCGTTACGTGGCACTTGAGTCTCAAACCCAGGTTGTTAGCTTTTCAGGTGATTTTAACCACTGAGCTGTTGCGCCCCTTAAAGTTTTCATACTGTGGGTCATATTTTAGAGATACTTCCTACCAGTTGCGGTATCCACTTATTTCTATACAATCTTCATAGTAAAATGTTTATTCTATGCCAAATTTCCTGTAATCCTTTAAGAATTGAACCTGACAAATTATTCCAAGCTATGACAAAAGTCCAACTTTTTGTACATCTTTGTGACACCAGCATCTTTAATTCTTGTGAATGAACATCACCAAAATATATTGGTGCCTGCAAAATTGTTCAGAGGTGTCATGTTAAAAGTTGTTGGCTTTGCTTCTGTGATAGACATGGATGTAAACAGCTTTCTTCTGAAGAAAAGTCTGAGCAATTAGGTCCTCAAGGGACAGAAACAGACTCCATCTATGGAATTCATTTTTATTGCCTATGAAAAGAGCCTCCAACTGCTTAGAAGGCATCCAGGCCCCAAAACTGTCACCCTCACAGCAGCAACTACTTTGCCAGCTCAAGCAACTGATGCAGAATCTTCTTCTGGCCGTATCGCACTTGGAGGGCAAATTGCTCCCGGTGGCTTAATTCCAAATAAGCCTGCAGGTCTCCCAGCATCGTTTCCTCCTCCTTCAAACTGGAGGAAAAAGCCTTCAGTGTTAGCGTTGTGGCATCAAAGAGAAGCTTCTTCTGAGCAGCACTCAGGTTGGGTATCATAGTTACTGACTGGATCAAGCAAGCGGTCCCTTTTCTATCTGTCTTAGCCTCTTTAAACTCTTTGAATTCCTCTGCAGACATAGTCAGCACCTGTGGTAAGACACACACAAACAGACCACACAAACAGATGTCAACCAAAATAAAATTTCACCAAGCAAACTCACTTTTCACTTTCAATCTAAAACTGCTTTTCTCAGTGGATTTCAAGCAGTGACTCAGCTCATCTTTTCTTAAAAGTCTGCCAATTTCATCCTTTTCAGGGTTTTGTCTTACATGCTGTATGACTATATGCTGCAAGACAGCGAAAATGCTCATAGAGAAGAGAATCACAGCATAATTGAGGAGTTAATGCAAGCATTTTACAAAACACCAAGCTAAATGTAATGCATACATAAACATAATGGGAGAAGGAGGAGACCGTAATTTTCACAAGTGGAACTCTCTGTATTATTGGTGCCATTCTGCAAGTCACATGTTTTTCTGTGCTGGAAATATATTTCTACATATATATATATATTTAGGAAATATATTTTCTCTACAGGTAGGCAAATTGTGTCTTTCCTAATACACCATTCCAAGCTCTATTCCTCCGTGGAATAGAGAAGAGCAGGAAAGTATCCAAACCCATCTACACTTTAGTCCAAGAGAAAATGCTCCGCAACCTGCTGACTGGAACCAGGACTGCTACTCAGGCAAAAATACCAAAGACTTACAACTAGAGCCAAAACTAACAATTCTTTTGGCTCTTCAACCTCAGAGCAAGAAGGAACCAGGAGATGCTTGCTGGGATGGATGAAATATTCTGAATATACACAAGATACATGACAAGCAACGAACTCCCCAGATTTTCTAAGAAGGCAATAAAAGCAGAAATACTACAGAGAGCAAGAGATAAGCCATTGAAATATAAAGGGAGAGAAATAGTAGTCCTGAAACAGATTCCTAGAAGAGACATAAGGAAACAGTATCAATTTTTGACAAGTAAATTTCAGATGGCTGATACCCAAGGGAATATTGGTGCCTTGGATGGGAAAAAAAACATTGACTGATAAAGCAGAGCAATCTTATGACCAGTATTTTGGGTCGTATGAAGAAAAAAGAAGAGAGAAAATAAAAGATAAAGGGCAAGAGGAAGCAGTAGGAGGGGTAAACACACAACAACAGGAAGGTGAAATAGAGCTGGATGAAAGAGCAGAACGAGAAGGCGCAAGATTAAAAGAACAGAGAAATAAATAACAACTAGAACAACAAGACCTTAAAGTCATAGAAGAAGAAATAAAGTTGCTGTCCATTAATATAAATGCATTGAATGAAAAGGAAAAAGATCTTTAATAAATTAGAAAAATTAAAGTTATATTTAATTTGTCTTTAAGAGGTCCACATTAAAATACAATATTGGAATACCCTAAAATTGGGAAATTGTATTTTTCATTAGCACAGCAAAAAAATGGGTTATATATTGAAACAATAGACCCTGGACACATTTTTGGAGATGAAGATGGGAGGATTTTGATGGTGGAGGTGACAATGAATTATATAGAGATACTTTTGATAGAAATATATGCACCAAATAATAAACAAGAATTCTATGAAAAACTCCATCAGAAAATTACATAATTGGAATATGAACATATTTGCATGGTAGGAGATTTCAACGCAATTGTAGATGCAGAACTCGATTATAAAAGCAGTAAAATAGGCAAGAAAGCTAGAAAAACACTTCCAAAGACATTCTTCAAAATGGCAGAATAGATATTCAAGAATATAGATAAAAGTACACTCTAAGAAAACTCAATATTCATTTTATTCAAATAGACATAAGTCTTGATCAAAAATAGATATCATATGGATGTCACCGGAGTTTAAAGCAAATGTGCAAGAAATAGAAATGGAAACAAGCATTTAGAAAAAAATACTTTGAAGAATTAAATAAAATAATATTAAGGCAAGGGGAAAAAACAAGAATAAGTTGAAAATGCTACAACATTCAAAAAATAGAGTGGATTGCCAGATTGGGAATTGTACACTGCTCAAAAAAATAAAGGAAACACAAAAATAAAACATCCTAGATCTGAATGAATGAAATATTCTTATTAAATACTTCATTCATTACATAGTTGAATGTGCTGACAACAAAATCACACAAAAATTATCAATGGAAATCAAATTTAACAACCCATGGAGGTCTGGATTTGGAGTTACACTCAGAATTAAAGTGGAAAAAAACACTACAGGCTGATCCAACTTTGATGTAATGTCCTGAAAACAAGTCAAAAGGAGGCTCAGTAGTGTGTGTGGCCTCCATGTGCCTCTATGACCTCCCTACAACGCCTGGGCATGCTCCTGATGAGGTGGCGGATGGTCTCCTGAGGGATCTCCTCCCACACCTGGACTAAAGCATCCCCCAACTCCCGGACAGTCTGTGGTGCAACGTGGCGTTGGTGGATGGAGTGAGTCATGATGTCCCAGATGTGCTCAATTGGATTCAGGTCTGGGGAACAGGCAGGCCAGTCCATAGCATCAATGCCTTCATCTTGCAGGAACTGCTGACACACTCTAGCCACATGAGGTCTAGCATTGTCTTGCATTAGGAGGAACCCAGGGCCAACCACACCAGCATATGGTCTCACAAGGGGTCTGAGGATCTCATCTCGGTTCCTAATGGCAGTCAGGATACCTCTGGCGAGCACATGGAGGGCTCTGCGGCCCCCTAAAGAAATGCCACCCCACACCATTACTGACCCACTGACAAACTGGTCATGCAGGCAGAACATTCTCCACAGTGTCTCCAGACCCTGTCACGTGCTCAGTGTGAATCAGCTTTCATCTGTGAAGAGCACAGGGCACCAGTGGCGAATTTGCCAATCTTGGTGTTCTCTGGCAAATGCTAAATGTCCTGCATGGTGTTGGGCTGTAAGCACAACCCCCACCTGTGGACGTTGGGCCCTCATACCACCCTCATGGAGTCTGTTTCTGACTGTTTGAGCAGCCACATGCACATTTGTGGCCCGCTGGAGGTCATTTTGCAGGGCTCTGGCAGTGCTCCTCCTGTCCCTCCTTGTTCAAAGGCGGAGATAGCAGTTCTGATGCTGGGTTGTTGCCCTCCTACGGCCTCCTCCACATCTCCTGATGTACTGGCCTGTCTCCTGGTAGCGCCTCCATGCTCTGGACACTATGCTGACAGACACAGCAAACTTTCTTGCCACAGCTCGCATTGATGTGCCATCCTGGATAAGCTGCATTACCTGAGCCACTTGTGTGGGTTGTAGACTCCGTCTCATGCTACCACTAGAGTGAAAGCACCGCCAGCATTCAAAAGTGACCAAACCATCAGTCAGAAAGCATAGGAACTGAGAAGTGGTCTGTGGGCACCACCTGCAGAACCACTCCTTTATTGGGGATGTCTTACTGCCTAGTTATACTGCCTATACTTTCCACCTGTTGTCTATTCCATTTGTATAACAGCATGTGAAATTGATTGTCAATCAGTGTTGCTACCTAAATGGACAGTTTGATTTCACAGAAGTGTGATTGACTTGGAGTTACATTGTGTTGTTTAAGTGTTCCCTTTATTTTTTTGAGCAGTGTACATAGTTACTTACAAAGACATTATATCAGAAATGCATTATCATCAATATGGGTAAAAAAACAACACTATATGAAAATACCAGTCTGGCTCTCCACAATGGAGGCACTCATTTATCCAAATGTAATTAATATAGAAAACATTACCGGATTACAAAACGCATCAGAGTATAATACCTTGGTTTAAAGGATTAAAACAAGAAAAACATGAGTCCCATTTTTGCTCTCCCCAGTGTCCAGAAACACTCTGAAGGCCAAAAACGGGCCTGTTTTTGGCCTCTCAAAGCCTCCACACATCCCATTTTTGCCCTCCCCAGCATTCTGAAGGCCATAAACTGGCCTGTATTTTTTGGGGTGTGTGTGTGTGTGTGTGTGTGGAGTACATCTTATAGTCTGAAAAATACGGTACATATTAGATTCTACATATATTAACTGCAGCTAAAATTGTATTTGGACAACAATGGAAAAGTGAAGAGATCCCTGCAGATGAAAATGTGATTTAAAAATATTAGAATGTGCAGAAATGGATAGACCAACACAATTAAGGAAAAGGAAGAAACTGAATATTTTTAGATATGGTACTTATTTTATCAATGGCTAGCTAATAAAAACAGAATTTAGAAACGTAGATGAAAAAAAAGGACTGATGATATGAGAGAGGTTTGTTAAAACGGATAAGCAAATATTGTTATTATTATAGAACTAAAACCAATGTAATGAATATTGTTGTAAACACTTCATTATTTTCTAAAAATATTTGTATCCAGACAACACACTGTTTAACTAAAAATTAAATCTTTATATGTTATAGATATATTAAAAAATTACCATATTTTTCAGACTATAAGATGCTCCAAAGTATAAGATGCACCTTAGCTTTGGGGGAGGAAAACAAGAAAAAAAAAACTGCCTCTGCTTCCCAGCAACTTGCCTCCTTGCAGCAAACAGCCTGTTTCAGCTTCAGCACAGCCTGATTTAGTACAAGCAGCTGATTGTCAGTTGGATCAGCCGCCCGACAACCAGCTGTCTTCAGCTGCAGGATCGCCATTGCCTATTGCCGCCTCTGTCTGCCCCATTTTCAGCCTCTGTGTGCCCTGTTTTTGGCCTCCACATGCCCTGTTTTTGGCCTGTTCAGGTAGTGGGTATTGGAATGGGCTGAACACTGGGCCCCTGGAGGCTGAAAACAAGACGCAGAGGCCAAAAACACGTGAAGGCAATAGATGACCCCTGCAGCCTGAAACAGCTGGTCATGGGCTATGTGGGAAAAGGAAGCCTTTGCTGTCCACTAGGCTTTCCTAACTTGGAAACAGTTCTTAGAGGGTAATAAAATCCCATTTTAGTGTGGAGAGTATGGAGAGATCATACAAAATTAGAGGCTTTAAATACCCCAAGAAAATACCCCTAAACAACTAAGATGTGCTCAATATTTCAATTGATTCAATTTTAATCTCTGTTTCATACCAGGAGAAAAAAATAGGGCTGATGCTTTTTCATGTATGCCTCAATACAAAAATACCAAGGAAGTGGTAATTTCTATCATCCCTTCCAGCCAGCTCACAGTGTCAGCTCCATAATTCTGTGCAAAGGGAATTATCCAGGTTAGTGTTAGATTTACTGATGCAGAAATTTAAAGAGGCTTTGGAACAAGGTTCTTGGTTCCAGAACCATAAATATGATCTAATGCCAAAACAAGATCTGGCATGGAAAGGGACTAAAGTGTACATCCCAAATAGTCAAAAGACACTAGTGTCAGAAAGAACACATGATGCAAAATCAGTCGGTCATTTTGGATTTGTAAAAACTCTTGTGAAAAGGCAAGTTTTGGTGGCCAAAAATGAAAAGGGACATAAAAAAATATGGTGCAAGTTGCTCAGTTTGCACTTCCATGAAGTGATTGCCTGGGAAAACCCCAGGTTTATTACAGTCACCAGCTAGGGAAGTAATAGCAGTGGATTTCATTGTCTGAGAGTGCTGGAAATACTGGAATATGGACAGTAGTTGACTTATTCTCAAAGCAAGCATCACTTGTAGCTTGTCCAAAGCTCTCCTCAGCTAAAAGTTTGGCCAAGATGTTTGTGCAGCATATTTATAGACTGCGTATGGAAGTATCATCTCAGACAGAGTGGTTACGTTCCCTGCAAAATTTTGGAGAGAATTAATTCAATCAATAGGATGCCTGAGATTCCTCAAGAAACTTCCTCTTCAACATTAACAGAGTGGATGGACATTATACAGCGTACATGGCCTTGGGGTAAGCAAAGCTTTGGGAAAAGCACCCAAAAACAACAACAGGCACCTGTTGAAAAGATCTACTCAAAGGGAATTTAAAGTGGGTGACAAGGTACATTTGTCCACAATATACTTGACCTTTAAAATACCTTATAAAAACCAGGTCCTAAATATTGACCCTTTTACTGTCATAGCATACATCAAACCAGTTGCTGTAAAACTGCAACTGTCAAGGGATTTTAAACGGATTTATCCAGTGTTTCATGTAGCTTATTAAAGCTGGTTCAAGGTTCAAGAATGAGGCCAGTAAAGAAACCACCTCCACTCCCAATTCTAGTTAAGGGAGAGAGGCATTGGGAAATTGAAGACATTTTGGATTCTAGATATTGTAGAGGAAAACTGCAATATCGAGTAAGGTGGAAAGGACACCCCCTGGTGGAGGCACAATGGGTAGCAGTGAATGTTAAAGCAGCTAAGCTAATAAAAAAAAATCCATTCTACATATCCTGAACAACCTCGGTGAAGGGGGAGATTAGGTAATTAAAACCCTAAGCATAGTCTATATGTCTATATATTTGTTTTTATACATTTCCAGATCTATTCTTCTTTTGGGGGGTTGGAATGTAGGTAACTTTTGCAGCTACGTGCCTCTTATTTTGAAATGAAACCTCAATGATTCCACTGAAGAACTGGGAGAGCCTAAAATCTTTTCAAGGACATCGTAGCTGGTGTGAGGTTGAAGCAGACAGTTCCCATAACAAAGTGAACTTATTTACATGGACCACGTGAGAGGTTGGGTGTTTGGCTGGGGAAATGGTTTAATTCTATGAACTGGTGTCTGGGAATCTCAGTTAGTTTTGCTTCGACATTACCATGCAGTGTATTCAATAAACAACAAGATTTTCAGAAATGGATTCTATTTGGATTCTCAAGCTGGCTGTTGACAGTTTTACTCAATGTTAATATATGTTACTAGTCCATGTATGATATGCCATACACTAAATGAATAAACCCACAGTTGAATCTCTTGATATGTGGAAAACTAATTCTAGGCTTTTGAAATTAGAGCAGCCATAACAACAGCATAAAGCAGGGAGCATGCCCAACCTTCCTGCTGCTTAACCAAAATAATTCCTGTATTAGGAGGTTAAATCACTCACCTGCAATGCCACTGAAAGCTCCTCCTCAGTGAAAACTCTCTCCCAGCCAATCACAAATGCCCCTTCCTCACCCACCATTTCCTGATGGCAAAGGAAGTTCCATTGGTCCAGGACCAGCTTTTCTTCCATGTCTGTATCTGTGGCTGATTGAATAACATAAAGTCAGAAGCAGCTCTGGAATGCTTTTTGGAAAAGAAACAAGCCTGTCCTTCTCTGGTTCAAAAACCTTTTGTCTTGCTGGTTTAATTGAAAAGTGGCAAAATAGCAGTAACACAACTGAAATGTTCAGTGCGGAAGAGACTTCAGCTCCATCCTAAGAAAACTGAGTGTTTGGCCACCAGGGCCAGGGAAGTCACCATCCTTGGGTGATCTTGCACTTCACCAGTTAAGGCCATTCAGGGTCCTTCTGGACTCCTAGCTACTGCTTAGAGCAGGTGGCAGCCATGGCCACAAGGGCCTGTGCATGGGTTCTCCTGATGTGTCACTTCTGCCCTTTCCTCAGTTGGAAGGCTCTTCTGCTCTGCTGAGCTAGGATTGTTATGCTGCACTCTACATGGGCTCCCCTTGAGGAGCAACCAGCTGGCTTAAAATGAAGCAGTACCTGCAGCAACACGCCTATCAACCAGCCCTCAATGGATTGTCTTCAATCGTTTCTGTCTATCCAGGAAATTCCTGAAAGTGAGTGTGCTTTCCAGGTTCTCTTTTTGTTACTGTTCAACAATCTGTTCTGCCTTAATGTAACATAATCTCTAGTTCAACTGAGCTCTATTAGAGGCAGAAAGTCCTTCTCAAACATTGGAAGTGCCCCCGCCCCCTTACCTATATAATCAATTACAATGGCCTCTCCCGCCCACCTTCCATTAAGCTCTCAGGAGATTGTCAGATGATGACCTGCCCTCCTGGGCGAGGTATTGTCTGACTGAACCTGTCTGAAACAGAAAATCTCCGGTTTCAATTTGAGGTCCTCCTCGTGCTAAATAAGGGTGAGCCACTTGCCTTGAAGTGCAGCTTTCAGCAGCGTCGACATTTGGATGTCAGCAGTGTCATTGGTGTTGCCAGGATAGGCCTCAGCAAAGCCATACATGTGGAGGAGCTGCCAGTTGGCCATTTCTCCATAGGTATTGAAGATCTCCTGGCCTTTGCGCACAGGCTTCGTGGTGACCATTTTCAAGGATTCCTGCCAAGACAGCAGGAAAGGGGTCCCTTCAGATTCCTTCTTGTTTTGCTCTGCTGAGTATCTCTAGAAAAAAAGCTCTGCCTGGACCATCTGCAACCAATTGTCTCTCAACAGAAGTCATTTTCACTTCTGCTAAGTGCTGAGCTGTGCTTGCTCCACTGACCTAGAAAAGGGCATCCACCGCAGGGCACAAAAAGGGTATCCCTACCCTGATATAGCAGGTGCAGCTCACCCTTCAAGCCTTCTTGGGAATGCATGTCTCAGGGCAATGCAACCTCAGGGATAGTAGAATGGCAGTGAGGCTCTTGCTCACCGGAGAATATTCCAAGTTGGCGTTGTGGTTGGCCACGTGATTTAGAAGATCTGCCAGAGGCACCATCACTGGAGGATTAGGTTCTTCCTCCTCTTCTTCCTCATTCAGAGTTTCTTGGAAACTGCATCAAATTAAAAAGAAGTGACTGAAGCTCTTGAAGGAGAACAAAATTACACAGAGGCACATAAGGAGGGCAGCTGTGGGACCCCAAAATCTGCAAAGCTGTAACTAGGCTGACAGCCAAGCGGCCACTAAATCCATAAATTCTTTGGTTAAGGTTTTTGTTTCTTCATAGTATTCAAACATAAAAACAATAGACACTTTCTGCTAAAAGCTCAAATAACAGATGGTTATGAGTTGCAGAAGCTAGGAAGGCTAGTCCTTGTTTGGTGACTACAACTGGGACTGGCAGTTTTCATTAAATGAAGTGGTTGCTAAGTGGAAAATCATGTGACAGAAACCATGCTTTCCTTCCCTGTCCCCCTTAGAATGCTCACCTTGGCATAGAGATCATTAGCAGTTTGTATTTGCATTCGTTTAGAGAGTAAACTAATAATAAATAAAACTGAATAAGATTCATGGTAATAGTTTTACTCAGTGACCAAACAAAATTGAAGTATTTGAAGTATTTTTAAATTTGTTTTTATGTTTTATAAGCTGCTCAGAGTCGATTGTTGAGAAAAGTATCTACAGAAATCAAATAAAAAGCAAATAAGAAAAAAGCAGGCACACAATGGGAAATATATTGGGCTGTTTGTGTGATGCACTAGCAGCTGCCACTGCCAACACATTGCTTTTGATGTGTATTCCCCATTAGGTACTTGCTTACTCTCTTGTAACCCCTTCTTCGCCAATCCCTCTGCTCTGCAAGGAAGGAGAAAAACAGGTCAGGGACACAATGGGTACTGACAGTACTAGTGATGATGTGATCAGGGGACACCATAAATATCATGTGGGCACTGGTCATAAAGTTATTTTTTGGCAGTATTGTACTTCAAACAGTCACTGAACATAGCAGTGGGCTGCCCGTAAGTTTACTTAAAATGCAACCATTTCACATCTCTTCTGCCCAAACACTCCTCTCGGAGGGATTTGGTTTTGATGAAATATTTCTACCTGCATAGTTGCCCAAAGGAACTTCTTTTATCAGGAATTACTTTCTGTCTTGCTGAGGCTGCTAGTCTGTGCCTCTTCCTATTACCTGTAAGCCATGACAAATGCCACCAGCTTCCGATAGAGCTCCAGTGTGTGCACCTTCGGGTTGAAGATATCTGGGTGGGCCTTCAAGAAGGGCAAGATGATAGAGGAATACTCCATCTCAATATTGGCCAAGTCTTTCTCCACAGCTTCGAGGACTCCTGTCCCTTGCAGAAGCTGTGCCCGTTCTTCATGACCCCTGCACAAGAGAGCCAGCAGAAAGAGCAGCTTCCTCACTGGAGAAGAATGCCATATCTTGTGTGTCTAATCCCAATTGGCCAAATAAAGTCATCCTATCCTACCCCAAAAAACGAAACTATGGGGAAAAGCTTGCAAGTTGTTCAGACATCCATTTCACAAACACTACTTTTGTATCTGCTTTGCTGAGATTTAAGTTTAGCTTCTGATGGAAAGCAGCTTTCATAACAGAAGGAAGAACAGGAGTGGAAAAGGGGGAAGTCTTAGGATGCCTCTGGGAAGCAGTAGGTTTGAAACAGCTGCCGCTAAAATAGCTACCACAAACACAACCAGCTTTAATGGCTGTTGGAGCCAGACAGTTGAAGCCTAGCCAGTTTTCCAGTGTAATTAGCATCTTAGACCAACCCAACCCAAGAAATATTGGGGAAATCCAGGAAGATTGGCATTCAGACAAATTAGCCCCTCTGTCTCTTCAGCCTTCCTTCTTCTTACTCCCGGTCAGATCTTGCTGTCTGCTTTGCCTGTTATGTTTTTTAATGTGTGTCTTTTCTATTCTTCATTTGGTCTTGTAGACCACTTTGGCCTCTCCAGTACGCCTTCCTAGCTTCAGTGCATCTTCTTCACTGTCTGAACACTTGCTACATTCACACTGTCTACAGGGCACAGGAGGCAGGTAAAGAAGCCAGTGCAGCAGCTTCTCTTACCAGAACATGGGGTGATCCAAGTCAGTGAACTGGGGCCAGAGAGAGAAATAAGGCCCCCATCGGGAACTACTAAGTGTGCATTCGTAGAGGAGTGAAACCAGGAGAGGAACCCAGCCCGATGAGCTCTGAAGGGAGGCTTCTTCTAGTGAAGGTAGAGACAAGGAAGGCGAGGAACATCAATGGAGGGAACAAATGCCCCCTCCAGCACTGCAGAGGAGCTGCAGTTGGAGGAGCCCCTCCCGCACCCTCCCCCCACCCGCAGAAGACTTGCACCTGCTTCTTAGACTTCCACCCCACCCACCTTCCTTCAGGGGCTGAGGAGGCCGGAGCACGACCACCAGAAGGCCCGGGTCCCCTTCGGCACCCGATCCACCGCATCGCGCCCCAAACACGCCCCGATCCCCCCCACCCCAGTACAGGCAGCGCCGGTACCTTTCCGCAGGAGGGGAGCGAGGGCGCTGGTGTGCTGGGACAGGAGCGCCGTCCGGGGAATGCTGAAGAGCTCTTCGCCGGCACCCAGGCTCTCCCTGGCCAGCAGCCCGTAGGCGGCCGCGGTGCCCACGCGACTCACGCCGACCTGCAAGCAGGAGAGGGCAGCGGCCGAGAGCGCGGCTCCCTGCCCAGAAGGCGAGGAGAAGCCCCGCAGGAAGGCAGGACGCGGCCGACGGAGTTTCCGGGCTCGAAGCTTCCAGCTCCCCCCGGCCCCCATTGGAAATGCAAGAGCCGCATCCGGAGGCTCCTTCCTCGGGCGAAGGACCCGCGAGGGGCAACAGACTCCCACCCCACTGCAGGGGCCACCTCGGGCGTCGAGCCGAGGCGGAGGACGGGGGAACTACCCGAGAGCCGTGCAGCTGGGACTCAGTGCCGCGGGGCCCCTCCCACCAGACACCCCGGCGCAGGCCTACCTTGGCGCTCAGCTGCACGCCGACCTCGGCGCACCAGCGCAGGAAGGCAGGCAGGGCGCGCGCGGGAGATGCGGGGTCGCCGCGCCGCGGCCGCTTCGCCGCCTCCGCCATCCCCTTCGGCCGCTGGCTCGGAAGAGAGCGGGGGCACCCGGAAGGCGGGCAATGGGCCGGAAGGGAGGGCAGAGGGGGCGGGGCTGAGTCGGATTCCCCCCCCGCCCCCCTCGTGATCCTGGCAGCCCCCCCCCGCCCCCCCGCGCCGCGAGAGGAAATGAGCGGGAGCCGCGGCGAAATGAAGAGATGCGGCGGTTTAATAGGCTCCAAGTCTACAAGGCGCTGCAAAATAGGACAATTCCGTCGGTCTCCGGCCCGGAGCCGGAGCGAGACAAAAGAGGATGCGGGCGATCACGGCGACGCGTGGGGCTCGATGCCGGTTCTGGCGATGCGGGAGACTCGACGTGCCCTTTCGGACCCCCACCCCCCGGGAAGGGGCGGCCCTCTGGTCTCGGGAAGCTGCTCGCGGGCGGCCAGTTCCAGGCCGGAGCCTGGATGGCCTCTAAAGCCGAGGCCGGAGGGGAGCGGAGAGTTGGGCTGGGCTCTCGCCGGGGCCTCCCTGCTCCATGCAAAATGACACCCCCCCACCCCACCCCGCTAAAGGGCCTTGACTGGGAATCGGCCCGAGCAGCCGCAGCCGCTGCCGCAGCCGCCGCCGCCCTGAATGAGGGAAGAGCTCCCGACTCTCCTGCCCGGCTTCCCTTTACTCCCTGAGGCCCATTTCCTGGCCCGGCGAGTGCGGGAAGGTCCCTGCCTGCCTGACTGCGGCGCTTGAGGGCCTCGGTGGCGGGGCGGCGGCGGCTGCTGCCGACCCAGCCCAGCCCGCGCTCCTCCCTACCGCTGGGGAGGGGCTGCTAGGAGGGCGGATCAGCACCATCCTGTCCCCTGCAGCGGGAGCCTGGCTGCGGACGGGGATCAAGCGGCTCCAGAAGATGGAGAGCCGCACTTGGAACAGACCTCCCCTCCGGCCGGCATCGCCTGCTGCTCCCGCTATGAGCCTCAAGCAAGGCCTCCTCCCTCGGGGCTCCCTGCCACCCAGGCAGTGGAGGGCAGAGGGGAACTTCCCACACAAGCCCCTCCCGCTTGCAAGCCTCGTGCCTGGCCCACTTTGCAATTCCTGCCCAGCTGCTAGAATCACCTGCAGCTCAAGCATCTATCTGCGGGAGCTGCTGCTGCTGCTGCTTGAGTTGAGTTACAGACCAACTTCCAAGTGGTGAGGCTGCACTATCCTTTCAATGCGGCCATTTCCCATTCCCACCAAAGGCCAGGAGCAGACCCTTGCTGGGGCACGTCCTTTGAGGGGAAACGCCTTCAGGCTGGCCAATCCCAAGCAGTGCCCTGCTTGCCTCCCTGTTCTGGGGGCACAGGCCAGGTGTGTTGCTACAGGAACCAGCAGGGCTGCTTGCGAAGGACCGATTGGAGCACGGGAACACAGTCACTCTAAAATGACATCTCTAACACAGGAAGGCAGCCTTGGGTAGGAAGCTGCTGCTTTCACTTTGAATCTGTCATGGCATTGGGAGAGATGGGCAGACAAGGAAACAGAAGCCACGAGAAGCAGCAAAAACAGCGGCTGGTGAGTAATGCAATGGTGGGTGGCCACAGCTCCCCGAACAAAGATGGTGGCCAAGGGGAGGTTCTGGGGACTCTCAGCAGGACACCTCCATGGTGTGGTTGATCTGGCCCATAGCTTCACTGCTTTCGGAGTGGGTGCAGGCTCTGGGACGGCTGCCATCCACCGAACTGGCACTGGTGAGGGAGGCTGTGCGCGAGCGGGCCAGGCGCGTCATGCTGGCCGAGGGCACTGCAGAGAGGCAGAACAAGGATCATGGGGGGGGGCTGGGCAACTTGGGCACCCAAGAAGAACCTAGATGGCACAACCAGGGAAGTGGCATCCTGCTCTGACTTCTTTGGAGCAGGCTGGGATTTCGTTCACTAGGGCAGAATGGGACAACTCGCCTTAGCCAGCTCGCCACAGGGCAACTTCATGGGACCACTCCCCACGGGAGAAGGCCAGAGGTGAAGGGAGCCTCCTCTTCCTCCTCTGCTTCATCCTCCCCACTTTTTTTCCTCAGTCCAAGCTACAGAAAAGGAGGTTCTCCTCCAGAATTCTCCCATTACCCCACATTAGATGGATGTAACTAATAAAAGGAATTGCCCCACATCAACTCAGGCAAGGTGGCCAGAGGTGGTGAGTTGCCCTAGACCTTCAGTATGGATCCCAGCCTGTTTTGGAAGGCAAGCCATTCCAGCACTCCTAAGTGCTCTGTGGGGCCGAGTCTTTGGCCATTGGCCAGGCTGGCTCTGGCTGTCAAGAAGGAGGGCACCAGGCTGCTTCTCCCCAAAGGATGGCAGCCAATGACTTGGGATGCAGGGCCCCAACTGGCAGAGCTTTTACTCCGTGGCTCATCTCACCCCGTGCCTCTTCATGGCAGCAAAATAGAGAGGAACATCAGCTTCTCCCCAGAGGACAAGGAGCCCTGTGCCCCCCTCCCCCCCCCTCGCTTTATTCCCAGCCAATGGACCTGCGGAATTATTGACCATCAACCCCCGGAGAGCCATTGCTCCCATTTCTTTTGATTGTCAAGTTGGAAATGGGATCCCTCAGATGCCTCCCCTCTTGATCTGGCCATCGTTCTGGGAGCTGTTAGGGAACCTCCAAAGCATGGCCGAGGGGAGTTCCTTTCAGAAGCTCCGTGACTCCCCCTTCACAGCAGGACACACTCCACAGCGATCAGTGTGTGGCAGAGGAGGGGCAGGGGCCACACACAGCAAGCAGAAAGGAAGCAGACATTGCAGGAGTGCCTGTACCTGATCCTCCACTCAGCCGCCGGTCCTTCAGGTACGCCACTGAAAAAAAGGTGGAGGGTTGAACAGGAGGGAAAAGGCGAGACAGCGCTGGGGAAGGGGCGAGAGGATAGGCACCCTCAAGGTGTGGTGAGCCCTGGCCAAACTGGGCCACTGGACAAGGGGCAGGCAGGAGCTCAGGCTGAACTGAGGAAAAACAGAAGCAAGCACAGCTGCTTGCTTTAGGCACTCTGCCCATTGTGCATCTGGGTGCCTGAGTGGGCTTCCTCTCTTATTTTCCAGTGGTCAGCAGACAGATACAAGATGGTGGCCTCCACTAAAGAAGCCGGGGGGCAGCCCTTGGGAGTTCCTGGGAAACGGGCTCCTGAGACCCTCTCAAGGAAGCTAGGTAGGAAGCCAAGCCCAGCTGTGGAAAGGGAGCATCCACGCTTCCTTTAAACTTTCCAGCAGGGGTAGAGGTGGGAGGGGCCCCTTGACTCCTGTTACCCCAACCTCCCCAGTTTGTCTCTGTGTGGCTGCTGTGTGCACAGGGACCAGCACTGTTGCTTGCTCAGCTGATGGAGCAGCCCAGAGCAGGGCCGTTCCAAACTTGGCTCTGGAGAAAAGGCGCCCACTTTGGGGGGGTGGGGGGGTCTGCTTGAAAGAGGACCAGCCTTGTGGGCATTTGTCCCCATTCCCTGTCCCTTCAAAGCAAATACCTTTCAAGCTGGACCAACCAGAGGAAGTGAGCCCAGCTGCAGGGGATGCTGCTCCCCCATGCAATTCGGGCAAATGGTGGATGGCATTCAAGGCCACAGCTCTGATTCAGCAAGACTTGGCCCGCTTTGGGGCTAGTCATGAGCCCCTCTCTGGCCAGGCCAGCAGCTTCCTATCCCAAAGCCCAGGTGGTCTCACCGTAGCCCATTCCTTGCAGGAAGTACTTGAACGCCTCAGTCAGTTTCCCAGGCTGGTAAAAAAACAAAGAGACAAAATATGAATATTGGGTTGCTCCATCCGTGCGGGTTTTTAAGAGAAGACTGGACAGCCACTTGAGCAGAGGTATCAAATCAAGGCCCTTGAGCCAGATGTGGGGTACTTAAATCTACCCTGTGGGGCTGGCCTGAAAATAGCAGAGGACCGGCCCGCAGTGCCTCTGGCCGTTTTGGCTGGCAAAATGTTGCAGGAAGCCATCCAGGTTGAAAACAGGGCGCATGTGGGCTGTGTGTGCCATCCCTGCTTTAGCTGGCACAGTGCTGCAAGAGGCCCTCCTGGCTGAAAATGCCCCCCCCCCCATTTTGGCTGGCTGGAGGCATCCATCCCATCGCACCCCCCCTCCCCGCCCAGCCCACGAAGAGAACTACAATGCTAATCCAGCCCTCCAAGTCCAGTTTGATATGAAGACATTGGAGGTCTTCTAGTCCAGCCCCTGGCTCAAGCAGGAGAACCTATACCATTTCAGATAAGTGACTGCCTAGTCTCTTCTTAAAAGCCTCCAGTGGAATCATGGAGCACCCATGATTTCTGAAGTTGTTCCACTGGTCAATTGTCCTCCCTGGTAGGAAGTATCTCTTTAATTCCAGGTTGCTTCTCTTTGATCAGCTTCCAACCATTATTTCTTGTCCTGCCCTCTGATGCTTTGGAGAATAATTTGACCCCCCTCTTATTTGTGGCAGTCCCTTAAATACTGGAAGACTGCTATTATGTTACCCCTAATTCATCTTTTCTTTAGACTAGCCAAACCAAAATCCTGCAGTCCTTCTTCTTATGTTTTAGTCTCCAGGCCTTTGATCATCTTAGTTGCTCTTCTCTGAACTTTTTCCAAAGTCTCAACATCTTTTTTGTAGTGTATGGTGACCAAAACTGGTTGCAGTATTCCAGGTGTGGCCTTAGTAGGGTTTTATAAAGTGGAACTAGTACTTCATGTGATCTTGATTCTGTGCCTCTGTTTATACAACCCAGGATGGTAGTAGCTTTTTTGGCTGCTCTGCACACTGCTGGTTCGTGTTCAGGTGACCATCCACTAGGACTTCAGGTCCCTCTCACAGTTACTGTTTCTGAGCCAGAATCTGTACTTATACTTTTGATTTTTCCTGCCTAAGTGTAAAACTTTGCTTTTCTCCACATTAAAATTCATTTTGTTGTTCAAGTTCGTCAAGATCTTTTTGGATCCTGAGCTTGTCTTCTAGGGTATTAGCTATTCCTGCCAACTTGGTGTCATCTGCAAATTTGATGAGTCCCCCTTCTATTCCCTCATCTAAGTCATTTATTGAAGATAATTAGGCCTAAGACGGAGCCTTGTGGTACCCCACTGCTTACTTGTATAGTCAGTTATAAGTACAGTTTGTCAGCCAGCTACAAATCCATTTGGTGGTGGTGATGTTGTCTATTCCACATTTTTCTAGCTTACCAAGTAGTAGAATGTGGTGTCCACAAGTTGAACTAGAAGACCTCAAAGGTCCCTTCTGTTACTCTGTTAAATAAACTTTTGGGACATTTTATATTCACATCCAGTTTGTGAATTTAATTCTAATTCTATTTTATTTCCACCACCAATGATACAAATTCTTCATCAAAACCAGAGGGAAGGGGGAAAAGGTGAAATCTTGAAAGGCAATAGAGCCTTTTCTGAACCCAGAGAGGTTGAGAGGAGGGCCTCTGACCAAGAAGCCATAGCCCACTTCCCAGGGGGCCTGCCCTGAGGGGAGTTGGGCTTGGTTCTGGCCCAGCTCCAGGCTCCTCCGCAGGCTGGGTACTGAAAGCGGGAGAGCTCACCTGAGTCACTTGGGGAAGCCCTCCGGAATCAGCCATCTAAGAGGAAAGCAGAGGTTGCATTTGTGCAGGCTCCTCCCGCCCTTGAGATCATCCCCGCCCCCCCAGGTGGTCTGCCCTGCCCTAGATCTGAGGGAGGCTGCCCAGAAGCTTCTTCTACCTTTCTTCCGGGCAGCGCTTGAATGTGGATGCTTGCGCTTCAGACATGATGATTTTCTGCCCCTTCTATCAAAGTTATTTGGGGAGGGGGGACCAATGTCTGGAAAGTTGGAATTGGTCTCCAAGCCGCAGCAGGGAAGAGCCAAAGGCTAAGTGGGATGAGGTACCAGTCAGGAACAGTCAGTGGAAGGAGGGACCGTAGTGCTTTGCATCTGTGCTACAGCACTAGCAAAACCCACTCTTTGTACACGGGGGCTAATGGGCACTTTCCTTCAAACTTGGCATGCCTAAGTGTGTCTTCAGTGTGCAAGCCCCCCTCTCCCACCCCATTGCCTTGGATTGAGGTTGTAAGGAAAAAGAGATCACACCTCAGGCTGGATTTGTAAGATCCCACAGGGAGGATGCACAAGAACGAACTAGCCAACCGGGCAGAGGAACCCTGCTACCATCAGGGAAGGAGAACATCCAGGAACCCCTGGTAAGGGCTGGCATGCACAGGTCTGCCAACTCACCTTCAGGAAAGTGGTGGTGGTTGGGTCCAGCTTGGAGTTGCATTCAACCTGCAAAGAACAAAGCTTCCACTAACACCAGGAATGGAGGAGCACATGACCTAAGGTCTTTCCCCTGGCAGGGGCCCAAGCAGGATCCCCCTTCAGTTAAATCCCAAGAAACCCTACACTAAGGGCTAAGCATGCATCGTCTTGTTCTGAAGCTAGAGGAAATAATCTTTAAGCAAAACGAAGCAACTGGTTTCCTAAATGTGAATTCTCACAACCTAGATGTGTAAAAACAAGCTTCATGAGAAACAGAGACTGTGCCCATTCAATATCTATTCTGCTCTATCACAAGAGTAGCCTGATAGAACTTCCATCTCTATCCCTAAAACCCTGGATTGTCTTGGCCTCCTTGGGAATGACCACGGAAGTGCAAGTTTGAGGCAGCTGCCAGTCACTTGCCAGGAGGCCACCCAAGAAGGGAAGACCGGCTGCTCCAGGTCTCCTGCAGCCTTTCAGGAACAGTCAGTCAAGAAACAGACCAGGCCAGCGTTTCTTGGCAATACACTTCAGATACAGTGGTCCCAGTGGCCATAATTAGAGCCCACTCCATCTGAGGGCACCAGATGGGGGCCAAAACTATTCCAAAGAAGTCAAAAGCACCACAGCACCACAGATGCACTCTGGGCACTATGGCAATATTTGCTAGAAGTTGCCCTTCTGACAGCCGTGGCTGAGAAATGGCTTTCTTCTCTAGGCCTTGCAAAGATCCAAAGATTCGAGCGAGCTTGCAGCCCCTTCGGCCCAGCTGGGTAAACAGCTCCACTCACCACACCATCTTCTGCAGGGGCATTGTCACCCACCACCAGCATCACTGGGCAACTGCGGACCCAAGGGGAGAAATGCAGTCAGCAGAACAGCCTCCCTCCTGGCCACCACCATCCCACTGTCCTGCTGGGACTTACCGGAGCGTCTTGGCATTGGGCGCACTGCCAGGGCGGTTCATCTCCAGATCTCTGCGGCTGAGAGAAAGAGAGGGATTTCAAGGAGATATGGAGGATGTTTTGAGGAGAGACAGAGCCAAGCTGGGCCCCTCTGGCCACTGGAAGCTTCCAAGGCCCAGTCTAATCATGAGCCCAAATCTCCACAATGCAGACCCAGCCTCACTTTTTAATGGAGTTGCCTTTTTACCCACATTTATGGGGTCCACCTCATTTCCAGACTGGGGGAGAATGCTTTTTAAACTTTGATTCTAGATCCAGGATGTGTTTCCATTTGGTCCTTGCACCTTCTAATGTGGTATTTCTATTGCCTGGCCTCCTTGGTGACAATTTTTCATTTCAAGCCATTTCATTGGCTTGTTCTGGTTCACCTTGAGACTTTGGCAACAGAATGACTCGGGTGCCCAAACAACCTAATACTCCAAGAAACATAGCAAAGCAGATTTTTTTTAGAAAGATGCAGGTTTACAAGCAGTGAGAGCAATTGGTGAAGAGAGGCAAGGAGATAATGGGTGTAATAGAAACTTTTTAAACCATTAAAGAGAGTTCACTACAGCAGTGGCAGTGACAACCTCCCACAAGTTCAGGGTGCCACCACGGAAAAACCACCTCCCAAGATTATCTTGGAATCCACCGAGGTGCCAGGGGCCCTCACTGCCAGGACAGGTGTGTCATAAACCGCCTCTGATATGAGGTGGGGCAGGGGGACACACAAACCTTCCAGGTGGCAGGAAAGATGGTCTGAATGCTGCTTCCTTCCCTGGTGTGCAAGCTTAACTTGTCAAGGGGCTGCTGCCAAGCTTGCTAGTTCTGGCTTCTACCTACAGGATGAGGACGTGATGCAACCAAGAAAGCAATTCCCATGATGTGGAAATTAGAGCCCTTTTCTCTGCCACAGTCCAAGGGGGCTCTGGGTCAAGGAAGTTTGGAGGAGGGACCACTTTACCTGTTGTACATACTCCAGAAGAGCTGCAGGTTGAACTGGTTCACTGTGCTGGCAATTTGCTGGCGATAGCTCTGCACCAGCTCCACGTTATTGGCCAACTCCTCCTGTGGGCATGGAGATGACAAAGGCAAAGAGAGGCCTGGCAAGCAGCCCCCTGGAGCCCAGGCCTGCTCCTGGAAGTGGTAGTCAACCCCCTCAGGCCCAGTCCACCCTTGGGGGGGGCAAGGCTCTCCATACTTCTGCCAAGTAAGACCTCACTAAGGCAGCAGCCGATTGCCAGTGACTGTGAAGAACTTACCTGGGGGTGGGAGACATGGCAAGGGACGTTTGCATTGCTAGTAACAGGCAAGCTAGGGACAGATGCTTTTGTCTAGAGCTTCTATCTGCCCACTAGAAGTTCAGAGGTCTACCTGCATTGAAGGGGAGCTCCCTCTTACTCAAGTGTGAAATGCAACCCAACAATTCAGGTGGGACATGACCATGGATCCCACAATACCTACCAGTCACCCCCTGGGGCCCAGTTTCCAGTGTTAGAACAACCCCGTTCAATGGCATGGGATGTCAGGGGAAACTGTTGGCAGAATGGCTTGGTGTCTCTATCATCACCTTTGCATGTGTGGGTGAGCTTTTTAAAGCAGTTTCTATGACTACCCTAGGGTGTCTGCCAGTCTTGCAAGCAGCCACCCCTAAGAGGGGAAAGGATTCCCTGCCCTGCAAGAAGGACCTGAGAGGCCTGTAAACCTCCCCATCTGCCAGTACTGTCGTCTTACCTGGCTGAACAGATGAGACAGCACCATGTCAGATAATGTGCTGGTCAGGCCAGAGAGCTGAAAGAAGGAGATGGATGTCAAGGGACACAACATCACTTTCCTACGTCCAGCACAAAGCCACCTAGATGCTGAGAGTCATTGTCTGGCCCTGAGCAGGTTAGACAGAGACCCAGCCTTTGATATTGGGAGTTTGGCTGCACGAAGAGTACGGAGAAGCCCCATGATTCTACCACCTCTTACTATATTCAACAGCAGTAGGGTCCTTCAAGTTTTTAGGTTCTATAATCTCCCAGGATTTAAAATGGACACCTAACATTAGGACCATTATTTAAAAAGCACAACAAAGAATGTTCTTCCTGCATCAATTCAGGAAATTCAGACTGCCCGAAGAGCTTTTGATAGAGTTCTACAGAGGAATTATTGAATCTGTCATTTGTACTTCTACAACTGTCCAGTTTGATTCAGCAACTAACCAGGACAGGTACAGATTCCAAGGGATAATTAAACCTGCAGAAAAACCAGTTGCAATCAGCCTTCCACTGAGGACCTGTGCATTGCACGAGTCAGAAGGAGAGCTGGAAAAATAACTAGACACCATATATCCTAGACATTAGCAGTTTCAACTCCTTCCCTCGGGATGCTGCTTTAGGATGTTGCATGCCAAAATATGTAGACACAGGGACAGGTTCTTCCCTCGTGCCATCACTCTGCAGAACACCTAACTTTCACAGTACTGTCTTGTCTAAATTTATTTACTCATATTACATTATTATCCTTCTCTACTTCTTATTGGTATCATTATGATTACTATTACTCTGTTACTTTGCATGTAGACTGAGAGCTTCTGTGCCAGAGACATTCTTTGGCACATTTGGCCAAAGAAATTCTATTCTATTCCTATCCTAAATTCTATCCTATCCTATCCTATCCTATTCTAGTAGGAACTCTACTCTATTCTATTCTTATCCTGAATTCTATTTTACTCTATCTACTCCTATCCTGAATTCTACTCTATTCTATTCCTATCTTGAATTCTATTCTATTCTCAGCCTGATCTCTTGGCAGATGTGCCAGACTGCGACTTCTTCAGATCTTCTACACCCCTGCCCTCAGGAGATTTCCGCTCTTCATCCCTTTGTGCAGAGCTATCTCCTCAGCACAGAAAAATTATGCCCAACCCACCCTGGAAGACTACCTTGCCGGCAGCCCAGTCAATCCACCCTTTGGCATTTGGGTCAACATTGATCAGAACGAGGCCTTCCACCAGATCTGGGAAGATCAGCTGCAGCAAAACAGATACAGAGTTTATTCTGGCTATCAGATTTATAAGCATCCAAAGGCAAGGGAATATGGAAGGAAAACCTGCAAGTTGCATTCACACAGCATACATAAGCAGATCTAGAGGCTACATTTGGATAATGTGCAAAGCATTTGAAATAGATGTTGTGAAAAGCAAAGTCTTTCATCTGAAGCACCCTCTGCAAGCTTTGGAAGCATTTTCTGTTTTGCCTACTTCTCCACAAGAAAGGTTTTGTGTTTCACACAGAAAGAAAAGAAAACCATTGCAAAGTCCTAGTACTTATTCAAAGTTAGAATATTGAAGAGGTTATGCTTGTTATTTGAGAAGACTCCTGAAAGAGCCTCCTGACTATGAACTTCATATGAACTTTGAAAAATGTGGTCCCAGAAACCCCCACAGAACTACTTCCTGACACCATCACAACAGCAAGGGCTTCAGTTCAGAAGAAGACCCATCCCTGAGATGGGGAAAGATGATGCAATAGAGGAAGGAGGACAGGGTCAAGTCAAAGGAAATCAAGCACAGAAATGGTGGCCCTCTTGCATCATTGTGGTCCCATGAGTGATAGGGAGTGGCTGCAAAAGCGAGACTCTTGGTGCCAGCTCTGCCTACCATAAGCCAGCGTAATTCATGCTCTATGTGTGGGTGAAGCCAGACAATTCTCTGTGGGTCCCAGTTTGGCAAGAGCTGCAATTGGCTGGTTGCAGGCACTGGGTGTGGCAGCAATGGAAATGTCCAATCGGCTGATAACCTCAGCCCAACCCAGGGATACAGGCACGATGGAAGGAGCTGAGTAGGTCTTGGCAACCTTCGAGAACTGTCTGACACCATTTTCAAGGGGTTGCTCATGCAAAGCAGAGTGCTTATTTTTGGCTTTCAGGTGAATAAGTCCAGGCCCTGATAAAAGCAGAAAAGCTTTCAGTTAAATAAATGTCCACCAGATGGCGGTACATGGGTTCTACTCTAGAAGATACCAAAAGGCAAGGTTCCTTCTCAGAATGCATATAGGCCCCTCCCTCCCTCCCTGATCCTTCCTTTTACCCCCAGACCAAGTAGAACACTTACTGCAAATTTGGCAAGAACATAGGCACCTGCTCCAACTCCAATTCCAATCACATACTTGAACCTATGAAAAGGGAAGTGTCAGACTTCTTGGCATCACTTCCTTGCTTCATTGACTGCCAGTTCCCAAGGCTCAGTTTATGGCCAGCTAGAATTGGGGCCATCCAGATGGGCTTACAGCTGGGTGACCTTGGGCCAATCCCTTTCTCATAGCCTTAGGCAGGAGGCAATGGCAATCCACTGCCAAGAATGTGCCAAGAAAACAGCAGGAGTACCCCCGTCCATGTAATCGCCAGGAAGTAAGACTGTACCACACCATAAAGGCCATTCTACCAGGGCAATATGAGCCCCCCCCGCCCCCCCCCACAACAACAACCTGATGACACCCCATGCTCACCCAAAATGTTGGACCACACTGGGCAACATGGCAGCTAACTGGTCCATGGACGGGTACTGATACCTATGGAAACAGCAAGCAAGAAGTTCTGAAAGATTCAATCTCAATCTCTCCCTCTCTCCCCCCTCCACACTGTATATTTATATTTCACATATGACATAACAGAATACAGCATTGATACATAAAATTTCACAAAAACAGTGTATAAAATATGCATGTTTTTAGCAATTGGACAGCAATACTCTTGAAATGATGTATTTCATGCAGGGATCCAGAGAACCTTCTGAGGTGGCATTCCATTGCAATATGATATGCAAGTTTGCAGGACATTCCCACAATCCCCATCAGGATTCTCAACCAATGCCCGCCTTATCCTGGTGTAGGAGGATCCTCCAGGAAAAAACTCGGGAGCAGCCCAACCCTTCTGTGGGGAAGCTGCTTCTCTGAGTCCGTTTGGGATTCCCAACTGGAGCCAGCTCCAGAGGAGTCAGGCTGCTATGCTTGCCTCTTACATTCCCTGGAGTTGTCCTTCTAGAACAACCCCCAACACAATTCACGTTTGCCTGAATTAACTCACAATTAATTTTAATTAATTAGTTAATTATTAATTACCATCAGCTTTAAAGTCACAGTAGCAGTTTGTGATGAAAGATTACCTTATGCAAAAAGGGCCCTATCACCATTTAGGGCACGCACGCACACACGCACACACACACTCCTCTCCCCCCCTCTGTGTGACTAAGGAGACCCCTCCAAAGGAGCCCTTCATTTGAGTCCCCTGAGAGCCACGTGACAGGGACTCTGAGGCAGATCCATGATCCAGAAAAGGCCTGGCAAGGAACCACCAGGGACACAATCCCACACCTGGCCATCCAAGAAGACACAGAGGCCTTCCTGGGAGATGCTTACCCCTGGGGAAACTGGGAGGCCCCAGACTGCTGCCCAGGCGCATCCACATGGCACACCACAAAGTGCTTCATGATCTCTTGCATTTCCTCAGAGTTAAAGAAAGTGTTGAAACAGAGCTTGTCTGCAAGAAATAGGAAGAAAATTAGGGCTAGATATCGAATGAACTCGAGTATTGACCTCCCTTACTATTCCAGGCAGGGCAGAGGCAACCAGAGGCTTCGTTCCCTGTCTTAAGCTGTTTTTGTGTTACTCCAACACTAAAGCGGTCAATGTCTGGAATACTCTACCTGACTGTGTGGTTTCTTCCCCAAACCCCAAAAACTTTCACCTTAGACTATTGACCTCACCCCTTTCCTAAGAGGGTGTAGGGGGCGTGCATAAGCGCACCAACGTGCCTACAATCCCTGTCCTATTGTTTCTTTTATTTTTCTTATATGTACCCATTTCATGTATTCATAACTATGTATATATTTCTACCTATTATCTTGTAAGCGATTGACAAATCAAAATAAATAAATAAAATAAAGCTTTTCGGGACTGGGAAACCGCTACTGCTTTCCACATGGAAGATTGTCTATGGAGATTCTCATCATCCAGGTTATCATTGTCCCAAAGGTGTTTTCTTCAAAAGGCAACTGGACTTTCTTTGTTTTGCTTGAAGACATTTTGCTTCTCGTCGAAGAAGCTTCTTCAGTCAGAAGTCAGAAGTGAAGAAGCTTCTTGGATGAGAAGCCAAAGGTCTTCAAGCAAAACAAAGTCCAGCTGCCTTTTGAAAAAAGCACCTTTGGGTTCCAGGAGGAATAAAAGTGGAACAAAAATGATGGTTATTTATTAATGGCTTTTCTAACACTTTGCAATTAAGCTGCCATCTCTTCCAAGGTGACTCAAGCCCTTCCTGTTGATGGACTCATTTCAGCCCATTCCAGTGTTTCCATGCAACAACTGGCAACCTCCTCAGGGCAAGCGGAGAGTATCTGGCAAGCCAGCCAATCCACTCCATTCAATGGAGGTTCAGCCCCAGCCGAGGCTGAAGGACCCGTGACTAGCTGGCCTTTCTCCCATTGCCTGTCCTTATCTTCACATGTTTCTCATGCGGAAAGTGACTGACATAAGCTGGGCAGAGAAACCCCACTGGCTGTCTCTGGAACTTCAGCTTCAGCCCATCAGGCTAGGGAAGAGAAGGACCAGGGGAGACTTGATAGGAGTCTTCCAGTATTTGGGGGGCTTCCCCAGATAGGAAGGGACCAAGCTATAGTCTAAAGCACCTGTAGGCCAGACAAGGAGTAATGGATGTATCAAGGAGAGATTTCACCTGGAAATAAGGAGGAATTTTCTGACAGTGAGAACAATCAACCAATGGAACAGAAGTTGCCTTCAGAAGTCGTGGGAGCTTTATCCCTGGAGGCTTTTGAAGAAAAGACTGCACTGCCATTTGTCAGAAACGGTGTAGGCTCTCCTGCTTGGGTGGGGGGTTGGACTAGATGATCTACAAGGTCCCTTCCAACTCTATTAATCTGTAAATCTGTAAAATCTCTTCCTTTCCACGCAACTTCCTTCTTCCTAGGCCATGGGGATGGTGACCCTGGCTAAGCTGGCAGGCTGCCTTATTTAGTTTTCAGGGGATTTGGGGGTTTGCAAGCCTTTCTAGTCAATTTCTGGAAGCACAGACAATGTTTTAGCTATCTCCTGAACTAAGATTAGGGAAAAGAACTCCCTTTCAGCATCTGCAGCATTTCTCTCCTCCTCTGTAGAACAGGAGGAGGCCAAAAAGGAAAGGGGTTTTGTTTTGTTCTTTGCTATGTTCACACAGCAAAAGTACTTAATACAGTTTCTGGATTCACATGATGCTGTGAATCAAAATTAACCAAAACTATTGGGTCTGCACACTATGCCATAGAATGAAGCCTTTTCCATGGCATTGAAAAACTTGGCACATCAGCAAATGTCAACAAAATGGCCGCCTTGTCATTGACCATGTTGATCCCTCGTCCTTTTGGTAGCCAAGCACAAACAGACAGTTTGCAAGTCAGGCACAACAGAGCCAGCTTTAGGGGAAAGGGGGCTCTGGCCCTCCCTCCCCAACCAGAATTAAAAGTGACCCACTTACGATTGAGCCCCACATCATGGTAAGTCAGGAGAGCTGGGCGGTTCCCTCTGGCGGATCCCCGAAGGACAACATGCAGCAGTCCATACGGTGTCTCGATGTCATGCTCCTGGAGGAGAGAGGAGAGATGGTGATGCGAGGTCAGCCTGGCTGAAGGGAGCCAGGCTGCTGTTGCTGCTCCCTTTTCTAGGTCAGGTCTCCCAAGGAGGGGGGCACATGGGGAGCCATGGCAGCCCCAACCCACTGCGATGGCTGCATTCTTCCCTCCGGCCGCCATAGTTCGACTCTGCCCAGGAGCCCCCCAACCCAGCCTCCTTGCACACTGTCGTCTCCTCTGCAGGGTTTTCCACAATGTCAGGCTCAAGGAACCAAGGAGGACACCAGGAGTTCCTTCAGAGGAACTTCTTACTGGTGCTTGCACAGAAGTCTTGCCTGCCTATTAGATCTACCTGTAAACTGCTGGGGTTCCCTGCACCCTTTACCTTTTTTCTGCATGCCAAAGACACTGAGCTTCTCTGCCTCTTGGCTTCCCCAAAAATCCCCTCCTTCCTGTTAAACTGGCCAACATTCCCCCAGTCAAAGTCCCTCAGGCTTTGCTCCAGCAAAGAGCCCAGCATTTATATTCCCTCCCTTTCTTGGATGAGGAATTATGGCTCTGCAGAACCTGCTTCTCCATAAGTGCATTCACACAACCTGATTCCCTTGGTTGTGGAGTACACAGAGGTGCACATCACAACATACACTGGACCATGAACAAACCAGATATGCCAGGTGTTTGCCACCTGCTCAGCCACAGGAAAAGACAAGCGGCCTTCTGCAAATGCAGCAGGTAGGTAGCTATTATAAACACAAATATAACTTCACTGTCAGCAGTTCCAGCAAGAGCAACCCCAGATTGTGAAGGATGTTAAAGATTCCCAGGGCTGAGTTTGCCTGCTGGTAAAGGCAGAGGAGGCCTTTGGCCCTCTTCCAGCACCCCCTGCTCCATCCAGCCCACCAGCACCCTAATGCAGTACAGCTGTTGGATGAGGGAGGGGTCTCATCTCCCACCTGGAGCAGCCAAAGCCTGCCAGGGGGATCAGGCAGCTGCAGAAAAAGCAGCACCTTTCCTGCAGAGGGGACCAAATCTCTTCACCAAGGCTGACCAGCAGCAGGGATGGAGTGGGCGGGGCGAGAAGGTACCAGCGGTCAAATCATGAGCCCAAAGCACTAGAGGACTGGCGGTTGGCAGCATCCCAAGGGCCTGGGCCCTGTGACGGTGGATATTCGGCCTCTGCCTGCAGCTGCCGACCAGCAAGGCACAGGTTCAAAATCTTCCCTTTTGCATTTGCAGCCTCCGCTCCGCCGTCGATCTCAGACTGGTTCAGCCTCACCTGCTCCCAGTCCCCGCGGCTGACGCACCGTTTTCTGCCTCAGTGAGAACTTCAAGGACACCGACAAGGTGTCGCCCAGCTCCACAGCGAAGCCCCCGCCCGCAACCGCTGCATCGCCCCAGCAGGCCAGCCTCGTCTCCACCGCGGGCGGATGACGCGGCCCCCCGGGAAGCCCCCCCAACAATCCCGGCGGTCACCAACAAAGCTCCGACCCTCCCGCGGCAACCGGGGAACCGCGCTGCGCAGGAAGCCCCGCTTGGAGCGGGCACGGCGCCCGTCGGGCAACTGCTCCTCCGCGGGCTGGGCGAGAACTGAGAGCGGGGAGGGCGGAGGAGGATCAGGACAAGGTCGCTACCCGGCGCAGCCCAGCGCCCTGCCCGGCCGGGGATGTCGTGGCCGAGGAGGGCGAGGCCCGAGGCCGGGCTTGCCTCCGCGTCTCGCGCTGTTTCCTGCCTCAGCCCCCGGCCGCTTCTGGGCACCTACCCCGTCCCAGCACTCTGGCATCTCGGGGGCTCCGGGGATGAAGCGGCGCCGCGTCCCTCTCCGGCTCTCCGCTCCCGGACCCGCTCTCTGCACCCGCGCCGCGCAGCTCTGCAGTGGGCTGGCCTCGCCGGATGCATTTAAGGGCCAGCCGCGCCCCTCCCTCCCCCTGCTCGTCCCCCGCCCGCCGGGCGTCCGCTGGCCGAGCGCCCGGCACGCTCGCGGAAGGGGCGCACTAGAGCGGCGGCAGCGGCGGCGGGGAGCCCTGGCTGGGGCAGCGCCCAAGAAGCCTTGTAGGCCGCCCTTAAGAACAAAGGCTCGCTCCGCGGCCCCCAAGGAGGGAAAGAGGAAGCGCCTCCCCCCCACGCCCCATCTCCACCCGCGGGCCAGCGCTCTGGCGTCGGCCTTCTGGCCCTCCCCGTGCCCGGCGAAGCGGCCTCAAGACCCCCGACGCGACTTGAAGCCGGAGTTGGAGACAGCGACGAGGGGAGGGGGAATCCTGCGGAGAAGCAGATCCGGGGGCCCCGAAGGGAGGGTGCGGGCAGAATGAGGGCCCAACAAGAGCCTCTTGCCCTTCCCTGCCTCTGCAGGCAGCCCTGGTGACATCGGGCGTTCACAGACGTTTGTTCGCTGCCTAAATTTCAATGACCTCTGCCTCTGAGTTTCCTCCACTCTTGGAAGAATACTGCACCCCTCCAAGGGCCTGGCTCCTGCTCAAGCCTCAGTCTGCCAGGTCAAATCAGTTACACACACACACACACACACACACACACACACACACACACAAACACAAACACACACACACACACCCCCAAAAATAATCTAATCCAACAAAATGACATGGTGCTTGGTTAAGGAGATAAGATCCAACTACATTTTTCTACGGATATCTTTGGATGTCTCCCTGCTCTCTCTCCCCCCCCCACTCCATATAGCTGTCTATCTGACAAGAAAGTGACTCTGAGAAGCATGTGCTAGACATGTAGAGAGTCTAAAGATAATTCTTGAAAATCTTATTGAACCATGCCATCATTCATATCTATTATTATATCACACTATTTGAACAATCACTGTTGGGTGTGTTTGTACGACTCATTGATTCACGGTCAGATATGGTTTATTCAATTAACTCAAAATTCTGAGTTCACAGCACGTTGAAATTAACTGCTAGGCTTATATGAGTCTTAAGCTAAAATCCAGTGGGCTGGCTTGTGTCTTCTGTGAAAGTAGCCATTTGTAAAATTTAGGCATTTGGTTTTCTGACCCCATGATGCTAACCATTAATCCATCCTATCCCTTGAGTAAGCTCTGCATCAAGATGGAGCAAAGTGCTGAGTTCCTGGCTTCTGTTCTAGGTCCTGGTGCTGTTCCACCAATTAATCCGATGAGGGGTTAGGAAGCATGATTATCACATTTCCAGGTGACACAGAAATTGCAAAGTCAGAGAGGATAGGATCACCTTGATAAGTTGGAGCAATGGGCAGGATTAATTTCAGCAGGAACAAATGTAAATATCTACATTTGGTTAGTAAAAGCCACAGGGAAGTAATAGGACTGTACAATAGATTGTGCAACCACTGTATAATAGATTGTACAGTGGTTGTGAAAATGATCTGGGTGCCTTAGTGGACTAGAACCCAAATCTAAGCCAGCAAAAGGAATACTTCCCAGGACCTCCCCCAAAATATCAAACGCTGTCCTAAACTGCATTAAGAGCAGTCATATTGAAGTCAAGAGAAATCACCTTTCCACTTTATTCAGAGTTCATTCAGACCACCTTAGGGATGCTGCACCCAGTTCTAGGCACCAGAATCGAAAGAGTCCAAGAAGCCAATGACAAAAGGCCTGGAAGAAAAGAACTAAAAGGAACAGCTGGAACAGTCAAGTGTCAAGAAGAGGGGACCAGGAGACAGTACAGCTATAGTACAGCTGTCTTTCACTCAATCATTCCAGAGCGGAAAGCCAAAAATCTGAAGTGACAAGGCAGCAGACCATCTGGTGGGACCGCTCCATAAAGGAAGAGGGTGAACCTGATTCTTCTGTGTGGAGGGGCTGGAAAAGGGGCTAGTTAGCCAGGGGCCGCATGATCTCCAGGAACCTCCTATTGTCTATTCTCTGGCTTCAAATTATGGGGCAGCCTGTCCATGAAATAAGAATATGAATTATTTGTGACATGTGCTTTTATGCTTATCACCTGCTTGTGAGTTGAACAAGCTTGACCAGCCAAGGCTCTGTCCTGCCTCCCATTAGGAGGTCAGATTTTGTCAGCCCATTACAGAGCCTTGCCAAGTGAGGCCCAGATGCTAATGTTCAATTATTGCCAAAGGAAAAACAAAAATGTAGCCATCTAAGCAATTTGCAGGGGACTTCTAGGACTCCATGGTTACATTTTCAACTTGTCACCATTGTGGGAAGCTGATAGCCTAATTTTAAAATAATTTTTTAAAAACCAGCTAATGTGGCATATTCTGTTTGAAGAAGCCAATTTCACACCTACACCCACTCGGCAGAGCCAAGCTGAGGGGAGGGTGACAAAGAAAAGCTCAGCGTTCCACTATCCTTGGTGCTGAAGCTGGCCCTGTCCCACTGGCCGGCCGTACCACACTCGCCTATGGCCACCAAGGGGCTTCGCTCTCACCATGCACCATCATCAATTCTCCCCTCGCTGGCTAGCTTCATTCCAGCCTTCCAGGCTGTTGCAGCAACTTGGCCCAGCTATTTTGGACTATAAGCACCTCCATTCCTAATTACTGGTCACCCTTCCTTGGTTGATGGAAATTACAGCTTAAAACACTGGAATTCACCAGAAACTGATTTTCTGCCTTACAGGGCATAATGCAAAATAAGTAGCATGCAAATAAGTTCATTTAGTACCAAGTTACTGTAGCATGCAAATAAGTTTATCTTGAAATCCAGAGAAGAAATCCTTTCCTCTTAGCATAAGTTTCTAGGTTGAAGTAGGCTGAGTCTGTGGAGTTGGGTGTGCGACTGAAAATATTCTTTGTTCTCTTCCCTCTTACTGGAAAGAGAAAGAGTGTATTTAAATGAAGAACTGTATTCATACAACATGCTTAATCTGATGAGTGAAAAGCCAAGCACGCACACAAAAACAGTATGGTTAGGTTTAATTTTGTTTAGTTTTGGGTTGGTTAGAACACTCGGCCTTTTTTTATTAGTTTCTTATTCAGTGTATCTGCAAATCCAGAAAACCGGTTCATTTACTACCAAGTAATTTGAGTTGTGTGAACACCTGTAG